TTCACTTAACAAGAAGGATGGTTACCAGAGGCTGAGAAGGGTAGTTGGGGCAGGGAGGGGATGATTAATGAGTAAAAAAATATAGTTGGATAGAATGAATAAGATCTAGTATTTGATAATAGCTAGATTACAGCTAACAGTAATTTATTGCACATTTTGAAATAACTAAAAGAGCATAACTGGATTGTTTGTAACACAAAGAAAGGATAAATGGATACCCCATTCATCCTGATATTATTACTCATTGTACATGGGTATCAAAATATCTCATGTATCCCATAAATATATACATCTACTATGTACCCATAAAAATTTTAAAAAGAATACTCTAATACCAATACATACAAATACTATGTATGTATATCTTTGTATTATTTATGTGCATGTGTGTGTACAGAGGGGCATTTTAACACCAGCTCAGTAAAGGCACAAGCATTATACAAAACAAACGACTGAAGATAGTCTTCAATATTAGTTATCCATCAACTATTGAATCAAATGAATTTGAGATCTAAGTTAAAGAGTAAACACCAACATAGAATCTTAATAATAGAACAACCTAAAAAGGATGGAGTGGGAAATAGAAAAATCTCTGAATTTAAATTTTGTCATATGAAAATCAGATCAGAATATCCTATAATACATTTCTGAAGAAACTAAATGTCTGAAAGCAGATTTAAAAGTTTGTAAACAAGGTCTAAAAGATATTAATAAAAGCTATGATGTCAAAAGGTCAGCCAATGATATATTCCAGAGTCAACAGTATCTTAAAATTCCATATAGAATGATAATAATAAGCGATCATGACTTGATGAAAATAAATTTCAAATGGATGGCTTTTGCTTTTTAGAAAGTTATAATTTAGAAGCAAACTATCTGTAGGGCATGGTGGCTCATGCCTGTAATCCTAGCACCTTGGGAGGACAAGGCAGGACAACCACTTGAGGCCAGGAGTTCAAAACCAGACTGGCCAATATAGTGAGAACCCATCTCTACAATTTTGGAGTTAGATGGTAGAGTCAGTCCTACAGAAATATTCAAAGTTATTTGACGACCACAGGACAATATAATTTGGTTCCTTATGGTTGCAACTAGAATAAAAGTTAAATTGTTAGGAACTAGGGAAACAAAGCTTATATGGTACAGTAACAATATTCATCATTGGTTATAGTTTAAATATTTATATGGTTATAGTTTAAAAGGCAATCATAACTCATTTGTTATCTTTGTTTCATTTTCTCTATTCAGGTTCCATATTTGGTTATATATGACCAAACTTCTCTGAAAGTTCAGTTCATTTTTATTAAAAAAAAATCTGTTGAAAGATTCTCCTTTAACAGTTCTCTCCTGTCCCCTTTAGTCACTGAATTAAATTTTATGTAATCCTGATAATACAAACACCAAAGCAAAGCCAAGTCAATGGAACTTTACTTGCTTTCTTAAAGGCCCTTATTGCCCCTGTAGAGGTTTTCTCTCTCCCCACAGGTTTGAGTACAATTTTTGTTTTATTTCCCCTTAAATAGCCAGGGCAGTTTCCTCATTATCTGGAACTCAGTTGAAGGTTTCAGGTTTCCCCAGAGATGTTCAGACCAACATAGTTGCACTAAAGTACTAATACTGATGTTTTTGGAACTTGCAATTTGCTTTCTATGTTGTTACTCAACTGACTTGTGAATTATACAGTATAATGAGGATAAACATTTTCTTAATAAACTTAGAACTCTCTAGATAGACTGAAAGTACTCTGTGTACTACAGTGAGAAGAAAAACATGTCCTTATTTTTAGGTACTTATTCAAATTCTTTGCTAATATAGTTCACTCAGTCTTGGTGTAGAAAGTACACATTGCGAGACTCTGTCTCAAAAAAAAAAAAAAAAAAAAAAGAAAGTACACATCTAGGAATCCACTGCTGCATTAAGACTTTCTCATTTTCCTTTTTCATCTTTTACCAACAAGTGGTTTAAAGCATTAGTCCAGGACTCAGAATTTTATGTGGTTACTGGCAAAGGTACTTAAGTAAAAATTCTGCGAAAGAAAAGGAAGGAACATGTTCATTTGCTCAGTTAATGACTAATGTAAAAGAGAAAATGATTTCAAACGTTTAAATCACTTATACAACAGTGTTTTGAGCAATGGGAATGACCAATAAGACACTGAGGTATCATGAAAGAACAGACAACAGTGCTTATTTTTAAGGTTACTGCTGTTTGTTTAATCACCGTTCAGGTCTCTATCAGGAGTGATTCACAGTCATCTCTCCTACTGAATCAGTGCTAACCATTTTCTTCAATTAACTCTGAAAAAAGGCAGCAAAATTCAAGTTCATAAACCCATTTGAAAAATGTTGTGATTTACAAAGTCTCATACACATAAATATTAAGGAAAAAAAAAAAGGATTGTCAATGACAGATTCCAAATGGAGTTTTCCCACTGTTTCTAGGAAGCAGATGCTTTAAGAATTCATTTTTACTTAGTGAAAATTTTATACAATTAGAAAATATTCAATCAGTGACTCTAAAATCTGTAAACTTCAGTAGCAGAATTCTACTAATACAGGACTGTTACAAATTCAAATTGTCCTATCATGGCATTATTACCCCCATGATTGGCAAATACCAGTAAATATGACCTATTTCCTCAAATATTAATTTTATAGATCTCTGATTAAAGAAGAATCCTACGAAGGCAACATCAGAACTTCAGAACTATACATATTCAACACATTTTTGTGGAGTAAGTGGCACAGGAATACTACATAAATCAAATAATAATTGCTTACAAATAACAAAACATTTGCAGATGACCCAAATTCAAGTTTTTGGTAAACACAATTCCCTATTGCCATCCTGGCCCTGGATGGAGCTTCTAAACAGTTATCACAGGTATGGCAAGTGTAGAATTAAGTGAGCTGTTATGCTAATTAAAAAATTAGAACATTCAACTTAACAGGAAAATCTTAAAAGACACATTTTGGAATTATAAACTTAATACCTTAAGGGGATGACAGATTGTGACATCACATACAAACACACACACACACTCACACACTCACACACACGAGAAAAAACTAGCACCAGTCAGGCTGTGGCTGCACACAGCTATCTTTATTTATCATTGACTGATATCTGGACTGGGTGCTGTTCCCACAGTCTCATATCAGGAAAGAAATGAAACAAAACACAGGACAAGCAAGGCAACTCTACAGCTGTCTGGTATGCATCATCACTGCAAACTCAGAATTAAAGAGTTTTCTAATAAAGTTTCTAAATACCAATCCACTATGTTGTTATCTGGAGATTTAGGGCCGTCCTTATTAGAACTTGACGAACTTCTCCCGTGGTTAATGGCAAGATAATTTTTAGCATCTTCATCTAAGCCATGTTCCAAAATATAAGAAATGTCACAGGTAGTGAAACTACTTTAAGAAAATTTATAATGCATTCTCTTTCCAATTATTATATTATGCTAACCCCTATGCTGTTTCTATTCTATTCCTTCAGCATCCTCTAAGGTCAGGTGATGTCTTAGTGCATTTTCTGTTGGTTAGAACAGAATACCTGAAACTAGGTAATTTATAAAGAAAATGAATTTGTACAGTTACGGAGGCTGGGAAGCCCATGATCAAGGAGATGCATCTGGTGAGAACCTTCTTGCTAGTGGGGACTCTCTGTGGCATCCCAAGATGAAGCAGAGTATCTATCACATGGTGAGGGGCCTAAGTATGCTAAAATGCTAGCTCAAGTCTCTCTCTTCCTCTTCTTATAAAGCCCCCAGTTCCCTTCCTATGCTAGCCTATTCATCCATTAACCCACTAATCCATTGATCCATGAATTCATTAATCCATTTATAAGGGCTCCAATCACCTATTTAAGGTCCCACTTCTCAATACTGCCACGCTGGGGATTAAGTTTCAACATGAGTTTTGGAGGGGACATTCAACCGTAGCAGTTGGTAATAAGCTCTTCGTCATTGAGGTGGATGGAACAAAGGCCACATGTTACTGCTGCTCTCTTCTGACCATGTCTGATAAGACTGGAGTCACATACTGATGAGAGCACAGCCAATTAGATGCTCTTTCTCAGGAATTGAGAATGAGGACTTTAAGACAGCTAAAGGCACTGCACTCACAAGGACATGCTTATAGGTTGGAGGGAAGAAGAGGAAGGGCTGGGGTTGCTATTTTAGGTCCAAGTAAGCAAACAGATAAACCCAGATGGTAGAAAGCAGCAGCAGAATAAAGTAGAATCAAAAGGAAGCAGAGATCAGAAACAAAATGACCCTTGAAACAGGACCCAAAGGCTTTTCAATTTTAGGTTCCAGATCTCTGGGAAATCCAGGTGTACTTGCTCCCCTTAAGTTCAGTGAGGAATCTTTGCATACTTCCTATAAAATCATCCCTGCTTTTGTTTTTGTGTTATTAGCTTGAGTGGGTTTCTCAACTCAGATATAAGGGTTCTTAATTATGTACAAATTATTGGTTTAGGGTTGATTTTCTTCAATCACTTGTTAACAATCATTTACAACTTGTTCCCTTGATTTGAGACATCACTCTTATTTGCATATTAGAGGTTTCTCAGGCATCAAAGATTTTCAGCACAGTAAGATTCTGAGAAGAGAGGGGGTAATGTTATTATAAATTTTACAATGAAAGAATTTATTTATTTATTTATTTTTTGAGATGTAGAGTCTTACTGTGTCACCCAGGCTACAGTGCAGGCGCATGATCTCAGCTCACTGCAACCTCTGCCTCCCGGATTCAAGTGATTCTCCTGCCTCAGCCTCCTAAGTAGCTGGGACTACAGGTGTGCACCATCACACCTGGCTAGTTTTTGCATTTTTAGTAGAGATGGGTTTTCCCCACGTTGGTCAGGCTGGTCTTGAACTCCTGACCAAGTGATCCATCTGCCTTGGCCTCCCAAAGTGCTGGGATTACAGGCATGAGCCACTGTGCCTGGCTGAAAGGAAAAGTTTTTATTGATGAAATAAGGTAACTACTTACATAATCTGGTAGAGGAACATCATTAGAACTCAGCGAACCTCTCAAGGACTGTGTGGCTTGTTCCAGAACTTTGTTGTGTTTTTTAGACAGCAAAGAAAATAAACTGGAAAAACAAACAAAAAACCAATTATATTAAAGAAAACTGTTTTCTATGTCTTCTGTGGAATTATATAGCTCCACAGCATGTCAATTATTCTAAAATATACTTGTAAATGATTCTTCCTTCATGCCTGTGTTAACAGCAAGATTAACAATACTATTTATGTAAGAAAAAATGAGTGAGGAGGATGTTTAAATCATAAGAGTTCTAAAAATTTTTTTAATGACAGTTTAAAATTATGTTTCAAACATAGAATTTTTCATAAGATTACTATAGGGAAAAGAATAGTGGAGAAAACCTGAGATGTAGACTACGACTAACTCATAGTGCAATCTACTACAAGTCACTTGAGCTTGTGTATCTTCTCATCTTCTGAAAAAGTGTGTTGGACAAGATTATATCTCTACTGTCATACAGAGTCTATGGTTCTGTATTATAGCTTTATTTCTCAAAACTAATGACTTGAAATGTTTTATAAGATTTCTGCTTCTGGCCGTGATAGATTAAATGATACTGAACTAACTCCCCTGCTATCACTAACTAAAAAAAAAAAAAAGACACAACTCTTTTCAGATGTTATACAACATGTGAAGTAAAGGATTATAATCCCTAACAAAAGGGATATAAAGATGAGCCCCATAATGGTGAGCTTCTGTCTCGAGGAACATTGCAGATTATGGTCCAGGAAGGTGGGACCCAAAGAATATACAGCAGTGTTGTGCTGAGCTCAGACAGAGAGAAGAATTTAAGGCTGCTGTGGCAACTGCATTTTGCAAGGCAGAATACTAGAGAGGAGAGAATTTCCAGAAAGCAGGTCCAGAAATCCAAGGGTCTTCTTGAATGTTTGTATAAATGTTAAGCTGTAATGTGCAGAGCAAGACTCCACAAGGTGTGGCAGTAAACAACTATCCAGGAGCTGTAAACTAAACACAGATTTTTGGGGACCATAACAGACTGAGGGATACTGGAGCTCTAACCAGCCAGGAGATAAAAATCATTGAACACGAACATTCAGCTGAATTCTTAGAAAGGCCATGCTTTAGTAGTCAGGCTATTTTACTTTAGAGTGCAAATTACTGTCTTCTAAGAGGCTCTTTAATATGGCAAAACAAACAATCTTCAAATAATACAGTTGATTTACATTAAATATAAAAGCACTAAACACCCCAGTTAAACGTCAGAGATTTTCAGACTGGATAAAAATGCAAGATCCAACCATGTGCAATTTAAAAGAGACACACTTGTAAATTTAAAGATACAGGTAAATTAACAAAAGGATACAAAAAAGACATACTATAAAAACATTAATCATAAGGAAATTGGAGTGGCCATATTAATTTCAGACAAAGTAGGCTTAAGAACAATATTATTATTACTAAAGAGGGAGATTTTATAATGATGAAAGCCAGTTTACCATGAAAACATAACAATCCTAAATACATATGTGCCTAATAAAAGAACTTTAGAGATATGTAATTATATGATCCCAATATTAAATTTATTGTATCTAATAAAGAAAGAATTCTTCTTTGGGATAGATGGTGGCTTAAAAATAAAGGCAATTCTGATTCCATGTACTTTCCATAAAAATCTGAAGTATGGCCCGTAGTATTTTTTTCATGCCAAAACTTCACTATAGTATTTAGTAATCCCCTTACAAAAAAAATATTTATTTAAATATCGATATAGGAAAATCTGTAATTATTTCAGATGGTTTAAAAAGGATATCCATTGAAGACTGGGCCACTAAGTAGTTTTTCTAGATTAAGTTTCAACTAATATCATCAAGGAAAAAAGTTCCTTAAACATTTATTGGTAATGTTAGATGTTGTACAAAACAAACATAAGAGAGGCAGTGAATATTATTTAAGTTTATACTTAAATAAGGTGGGAAGAAAAATAATTACATGAAATAATTACTGAATGAATAAGTATGAAATTATATGATACTGGTTACATGCTGAGGATATATCTGAATGATTTCTTTGAAATGAAACACTCCTGAAATGCAATACTCCAGTGAAGTTTCATGAAGGTCAGCTTAGGCCCTATACAATGTCTTGAGAAAGAAGAAAGAGTTATCTGTGCAAGAGAGAATAAAAGGCACTTCCAAATAGAAGGCAAAGCACAGAGGCAAAAGTAGGAGACAGCAAGAAAATCGGAATGGAGGTACTATATAAGAAGTAGAAAACAGGATTCAGTACATAAGGGCACATACACTTTTTTCCAATCATTTTATTTTTCTGGGTCTTCTCCATTTGAGGTTTAGTTTTGCTTTATCTTTCCTTTTTAAGGTTAACGGTAAACGCCATACTTTCAACTCACCATTATTCCCATGACCCACTGATAACTAATATTAACCGGTTATTGTGTATGATTCCAGAAACGTTATACGCGTTAATCCATGTAAACAAATGCATACTGTATACATATATATCCATCTTTTTTATTCCATGAAATATATACTATGCTGTACCTTGCACTTTGTCCATCTAATAATACATTCCTTCCTTCATTCAACAAACACATGAGTGTTTACTGTTACTTGACATCAAAGGATATGGATATACCATAATTTATTTAGTCCATTATTAATCACTCACTGCAATTGTTTCCAAACGTTTATATTATAAACAGCATTGAAATGAACACCCTTGTAAATAACTTTAAGCATGCCCGAGTGAGACTATCTTTATGATAAATTGCCTGAAGCAAAACTGCTGAGTAAGAATAACTGAACATAATACTGAACTGCATTATGGGGTCCATATTTTCAAGTATGTAAGTTATTTTGCAGGAGATGCAAAAAAAAAAAAAGTAAAAAAGTTGGGATTATTTATAAGACAGGTATACATGGAAATGCATACAGAAGGAAATCAGCAATATGCTTCTAATTGGTTACAGTGTATTTTCTGGAATAAATGGAATTTCAGAAGTTTTTTGAGACTAAAAGAACTTTGGGTAGTCAATTCTTGCACAAGGTGTGGCAAGACTCAAAAATATAAACTGGCTACCCAAACAAAAAAAGAAAAGCAATAAATATGCCTGAAAGAAGTGAGCTTCTTGGTGTTAGGAAGAAGAAATGGAACAAGTGAAACACAGCAGCATACTTTGCTGAGTTGAAGAAAAAATAAGAATTCGAGAGGTGCTTCATGAGTTCAGCAAACCTGGGATGTTCATTCTCACATTCCGTGTGTGTGTGTGTGTGTGTGTGTGTGTCCCCTATTAGTGCACTATCAGAGAACAGCAGAGGTGATCAATAGTAACTTTCATCATCAATTTAAGAAAATAATTAAACAGTCCTAGGGACCAGAGCAAAAAACACTTGAAACTGTTTCTTTTGGAGAAGAAAGGCTAGTTTGTTTGTTTATTGATTTTAAAAGAGAGTATGAACACTCTGTTTTGCTTGCTAGTAGGACACCAAACAAGGAAGTGAGCTTCAATTCAAACATGAGATATTTTGGTTGAGCATAATGGAAAATTTCACTATTAAGGACATAAAATGTTGAAATGGTATACCTCAGGAAGCTGTGGATACTGCTTCTAGCTATCTTTAAGAAATTCTCTGTAAGAATAGATCATTTGAGGTCACATTCAGCTCTCTATCAAAGAGAAACAGAGAATTCACATTTACTTTGTTACTATCATACAATTTAACAGGCATTTTACTAAAATCTTAGAGCAAGTGCTTTTGAAGTTTTATTTAAACATTCTAATTTTGGCTTTTATTTAACATTTTTAAGGCAAAATGTATATGAGACATGACTTGCAAACTGCTGAGTGAAAAGAGTAACTTTTGCTTAAAGCTTTGCATTCAAAGTACTTACCCCCAGCTTAATGCTAATTAGAGTAAGTAATAAAGATATATGTTTGTATGTAAATGGATAAATTTGATTTTAAAAATCAGTCTTAAAAATAAAAATGATCTTTAAGTTAGCTTAATATTTACTTAGCTGGGATCTATTTGCTAGAATACTTTTTTAAAATTTGAAAAAGACTAGTTTTTCTTTTTGTATAAGAATGTTCATTACAAACTAAGAAAATGAAAACAGTCAAAACACTAATCAAGAATAGAATGGGTAAATAAACTGTGGGATATTTATACAAGGAAATACTATATAGCAATTTAGAATTACCTAATGCTACATGTATGAATATGAATAAATCTCAAAAACAATGTTGAGTAAAAAATAGGCAAGAATCCTTAGAAAATGTGAACAAGGTGATTTTATGTTTCAAAAATGGAAAACAATATTACAAATCATTTACAGATAAAATATATTAATAACATCAAATATATATGGAAATGATAAACCCTACATTTAGGATAGCCACTGTTCTCTGAGGAAGGAGGAAAAAGGGGGTCCAGCTCTCACATGAGTATTCGCTCTCTCTCTCTCTATATATATGGACACATATACAGTAGATATAAAATGTTCTTTTGGTAACACTGGATACATACACAAGAGAGTGGTATATTGCTCTATTTTTTGTGTATGCAGGAAGTATTATATAACATTTAAAAAATCTGATAAAAGAACATGCTATCCTGAAGAAAACAGAGCCCCTGCCAACGACAGCATTTCACAAAAGAAAGCAGCATGTAAACAGAATAAGTGTGGTCAGTCCAAATGGGAACACGCTGAGAAAATCACAAGCTGGTGGAAATGGCTGTAGTGTAGGGTGCACAGATGGTGGCAGGAGATGACACCAGAACGAAGACAGTTTGAAGCCAGACTGTGAAGGGCCGCTTTATGGCACATCAAAAGCCCTGGACTTTATTCCATTCAGAGTGAGAAGCTAATGGAACATCAGTCTTACAAAATAATGAAAGAGGCATGGATCCCTGCCCCCAAGGAACTCAAGTCTACTGGGATGAGAAAAAAAAAAAAAATCTACAATACTGAAATCAGAGAATGCCATGGGTCTGAGGAGAGTGCTGTGGGAGAACAGGGGGAAGATTAGGTGCATTCCATGGAGGAAATCTATCTTGACTGTGGCCT